GGGCAGCCTTTTCCCGAAGGATTGTCCGAGGGATGAGCAGGAGGGAGCTGGAGGGGGCAGGACGAGGCTCGGGGTGCGGCAGCTCCGGGTTTGAAGCGGGTTTGTCCGCAGGAGCTGCGGCGAGGYGGGGGAAATGCGGGAAAAAGCAAAGTTTTGCGGCTCCTGGCTGGACACCCCGTGATGGGAAGAGGGTGGTGTTGGGAGGGAATGGCTGGGACGGGGAACAGGTGTCCAGGTCCAYTTTCGCTGCCAGGAACAGAGGTGGGACGGGGAACTTTTGCAACATAAATATTCGCTGTCCCTTTCTCCATTTAAAACCCGGGAAAACGAATCATGAAGGTTGGAAAGGATCAGCGAGTCCAACAGTTCCAGGACCACCCCTAACGCGCACCTTTYCCGAACCCTTCCAGGGGTGCTGATCCCACCACAACCCGCCCCAAAAKGACCCGCCGGCAAAGCCAAGCACCCCCTCACCTCGGCTGCCATTTCGGACGACGTTTTGCTGGTTTGTGCAGCAATCCTGGCACCTGGCGCAACCTGCGGGACAGCGCGGAGATGCTCAGCTCGCCCGGTGCCCGCTCGGTGCCCGCTCCCTGCCCCGCTCCCGGTGCGCTCCCGGTGCGCTCCCCGGGCACCGCTCCCCGGGCACCGCTCACCTGCTCCGCACGCAGCCCCGGCCGCTGTGGCGCTCGCTGCTCCCCGGTGCCGCTGCCCCGCTTTTACAGCCCTCGGCTCGGGGCTGGCGGCTCGTCCCGCCCAGCCGGGGCGGRGTGTGCCCGGGGCCGGCCCCGCTCGGGTGCCCCCCTTGTCCCCCTTGTCCCTTCCCACCCCTGCGCTGCTCCGGAACTGGCCCGGGGAAGCTGCCCCGGGGTTCGGGGGTGCTTTGGAGAGGGGTTTGCTGCGAGGACGAGGAGGAGGTTTGGGAGTGATGCCTCTTACCTGGCGTAGCTCCTGCGCTGTGCACAGCTCAGGAATATCCTTGGAACGCTTTTCTGGGAATATCCTGGTGCTGAACGAGTCACATCACTCTGTCACACCTCTTTAACGAGCAATCTTTAATAAGAATATAATTGATACGATGCTCTGTCCCCATTGCCACCCCAAAAAACATAAAAAATAGATTCCCGTTGTTCTTTCCCATCTCTGACTGATTGAGACTTTTCACCCCACCAGCTCTGGGGCTTCCCTGTTGTCCCCAGGTGTGTGGGGTCACCTGTGGGGCTTGAAGTTGTACTTGTGGCAATAACCTGTACCTTGTTAAACTCATCACACCCTAAATATTATGGATTTAAATGACTTATTCAAAGCACAAGGAGCCTTTTAGAACAGCAAAGCTTTGGCTCAGCAGGAATTTCTCATCAASTCCTCGGGCAGAGCATTTTCTCCTCCATAGAAAGCTGAATATTGGCTGCTTTCTCTTACCCTATGGGATATTCCGGTGTAACGTTTTTCCATCTGAATTATCCAAACCTCTCACAGTGCTCAGGAAACATTTTCCAACTTTCTCATCCACAAAATCCTCAGTTTAAGGATTGTTCTCCCTTAAATCGACCCCCTTGTTCTCTTCTGCCATTCTCAGTTCTACAACTTGGATCCCCTTCCCCTTTTYCCACCAGGACACTGAACCAGCGCTCGATCCTTTCACATTTCTGTTCCTTCCTACCATGAAATCCCTCATTTTTACCACTTTTCTCACCTTCTTCACCTCTTAAAAGCATCCTCATCCTTACTCCAGGCTTGGACAGGAGATTGATTGCTGTGATAACAGCAAGCGCTGAATTTCTACTTGAACAAAGGGGTGTAAATAGGATTTTGCTAACCTGTGTCTGATATTACATGTGACAGGGGATATCACATCCACATGGGATCTGTCAGCAGTGCCACAGTGTATTTAGCAAACCTCACAGGGATTAGCTGGCTTGTGCTACACTGCTCATCTCCTGCCCCACTTTGGATCTAGGAAATGATGGATTCTCTCTTTATTTTTAGATCAAACAGGTAAAAACTATGTTTTCTGCATAATAAGCAATGTAAAATATAGATGAATGTTTTTAGAATATAAACGGAAATAAACATAAATACAAAGCCTCAACTTAAAAATTAACATTGGAGAAATAGGATTTCTTAAAGATGCTTGGAACTGGAAAGTTGAACTTTGAAATAACAATGCAAAATATACYTTTTAATGCAAACTGAAGTGCATTCTCATTATTATCTTCTCCATTTGTTCTGGTTTGGGTGTCTCTCCACTTCCCATCATCTCCTTTCAGTATTTTATTCGAAATAGAAAGATTAACCCTGAAAATCCTCACCTCACAGTCAGCACTGAGGAAGTTCTGAGGGAAAATCCTCCCRCTTACTTTCCTTTCTGCCACAGTGGATGGTGAAGCATTCCTACATTAATGTTCCCAGCTACACCCTTTTGTAGGTGATAATGGGTGCGAGGGAGTAAATTTCCAATTTTGCAGCACAGAGAAATTTAATCAAATATATTTTAATGCACTCAAAGACCTGAACTTTATTGGTACTTTTGTAATCAATCCGGGCCTTTTTCTACTATTTCATTTTATTACTGGAACGGTGCAATGCTGAGGGAGTCAAGAAGCTCTGGTGGCTCTGGAAATCCAGTTTTTGCAGTAGGGCTGTGAAGAAAAAGGATGGCAGAAACAGCTACAATGCACCTTCTTTAAAATCCATCATTTTTTAGCTGTCTTTTCGGTTTGGAGACTGAAAACAGCTCCACGGGCTGAACGTGCCGGGCAAACGCATTGTCAGCTCGTCTGACGCGGAGCCGCACTGACATTTTCTGTTCCCAAAACCCCCCAACTTTGTTTTAACGAATTTTTGATTGTAAACGGCCCAAAAAAAAAAAAAAAAAAAAAAAAAAAAAAAAAAAAAAGAAAAAAGAAAAAAAAAGACACCATAGGATGCTGAACGAAATGCTGAACACAGTAAACATCTTTCATGACAAAGAACACAAATACCCTGCAGATCTGCTTTCAATAGCAAGTCCTAGGCCCCCTGCTTTCAATAGTTAATACCGAGGGCCCCTCTCTCCCCAAGCCTTAGTGGTAACAATCACAAGCCAATGCTTAAAATGTTGACATGCTAAGCACATTTGGAAAAACCCATGTCTGCATTCCCTCTGGATGGTGTAGCATCGCTGGCTAACACCTAAAGAGCAGCAGTTGCAGCCGGCGAAGTGACCTCCTCACCTCCCGAGCAGCTGGGTCTCTCTCAATATTCCCTTTCTGCCTTGTGTGATGTCAGTGGACRTGCAGCTGACTTTTATTTGTATTTACAGCCTGAAATGCTTCCTATCTCTACTGGAAAATGTTTAGGAAAAGTATTTCTATTAGGAGAAAAAAGGTGTGGAAAGAGGTGTTTGTGTTGCGATCCTTCATCCCCAACCATATCTTCATCATGGTTGGAAAAATCAGTGTTGGTTGGGAAAGCGTGTCAGGAGAGGTTTGGAGTGAAGCTTTTGAGGAAACAGTGAAAATAAATATAATAATTTGGGGATTGGGAAGAGATATAAAGAGGTGGAAAGCAGAAATAAAATAATTGTGTTGAAGATTCTGAACCATCATCTGAAGAGAGTGGTGAGAGGCAGGCAAGGATTAGCAGATTTCTGCAATCAAACTCTGAAATTTCGTTGTGTGGAAATACCACATTCTCCCATGAAAATGGACATCCTTTCCCTTCTTTCAGGCAGTCCCATGTGCAGGATTTGGGACATGGCAGAGCAGTCACAGAGYGTTTGCTGTGCCAGTTTTGGCCAACTCACAAGGCCAGTTAATCCTGACATGAAAAAGGGCAGCATCCATTGCATCCTGTGCACTGAGTCRCACCAGCAGCTCTCAGGCTGCCTCTCCACACCTTCCTCCTGGCTTTTTTAATTAAAAAAAAAAGTCCACAATAAATCCTTCTTAAATATAAATAAATTCCTTTCCTTAYTACAATCTGTGTGTGATGGGGTCCACACGTCCACTGAAACTCTTTTAGGGGTTTTCAAATTAAAAAGGCTGAAAAGCCTTTGCAATTGGCTTTTAAATTTTGCCCAACACTTCCACATCTGGCGATAAAAGTTCCTGGAAATCTGGGAGCTGCTCAGTGCCTGCAGTCCTGGCACTGGAGACTGTTCCTGAAACCTTATGGTTTGCTCATATTACCTTGAATTCAGCATTTCCAATACCCCAAGRAGAAGAAAAGGCTTAAAAATGGGACTGGAATTTTGTCTGGCGTGATCATGGCAAGAAAAATGGCTGGTGGGTTTTGTGCTGGCATTGTGAGGTAGAGGTTGGGGACCATGAGTGACCTATTCAGTTCCCTAAATCCCTAAAAGGCTCTTAAATCCCTGCTCCAAGCAAGTAAATGTATCTGAATGACACTACTTAGGGAGTTAGAGGTGTTGTATCTGCATATAAAATTTTCACTGAGAGAAAATATCAAAATTAGGGAATTAATATTTCCATGCCCAGATAATTTTCCTTGCTGTTACCWATAGGATTTTCATCTGTTTGCACTCAGTGAAGTGTCCCGGTTTTATGAAGAATTAAAAAGGCTCCTGCAAAGTTTAACATGGGGTTTAAATGGGAGAGAATCACGGTGATGGCTGGGAAAGACACGATGCTGAAAAGTTTGATTAAGTCAAGTGATTTAAAAGATAATACGAGTATTATAAAATTATTTCAGTCCCGCAGTACTCCGTACACTGCTAGAGATTTAATTTGAAAGGAGTTTCGCGCGATGCTGTTTGCCTTTGCCACACTTAACGGCGACTAATTGTCAATCTGAGTGATTTCAGACAAGAATTAATTTCATTTTCTGTTGAACGTACACACAAAAGGAGCGACGGGAGCAGTGCCCTCATCACCGGCATTGGTGGTTCAGTGGTAGAATTCTCGCCTGCCACGCGGGAGGCCCGGGTTCGATTCCCGGCCAATGCAGTTGATCTTTTCCTGCCCCCCCTTTTTTTTTTTTTTTTTTTTCTCTAGTTCCCTATTTCTCCTTCCTTTTCCGCTTCCGCCCCGGCCTCCGAATCCTCCATCAGCTCCAGGGGGCCTCGCTCGGTTCTTTCCCCGCCGTGTCCCGCCGTGCCCGGGGGCGGCGGGAGGATCCTCCGGGAGRCCGCGCCGGGGAGGACAAGATGGAGGTGTAAGGACGGGCCTGAGGGGGCACACGGGGCGGGGGCGGGCTTGGGAGCCAYCCTGCAGTGCCCACAGYGGGGCTGCAGGGCCGGGAGTGCRYCTCTGTGSGGTTCMTTTATATAGGGTTTGTGTGGGGTAYATYTRTATGGGGTTTATCCATATGGGGTGTGTGTGTGGGRACGGTACATCCATGTGGGCCTGCGTGTGAGGGGTGTGAGGGTATAATGAATATATTTACGAGTTTATCGGACTTTTAACCCCCCAGCAGTGAKTTCAGGCGTTCTGGGAATTACCTGAGGGGTTTATTTTCTTTAAAACTCCTGCTGAAGCAGCTGTAGGGGCAAATCCCACTCTTGTCCCCGCTGCTGTCCCCTCCTGCTCCCTCTGGGAAAGGCAAAATGGGAATTTAATTACTTTGAGCTCTCCGTGTGGGAGCTGGATGTGMKGGAGAAGGAGAAAACCTGAGGGGTTTGTGCCAGCGATTGCAAACATGATAAGAGATTCAGATTTTTGGCAGAGTTACACCAGGCAGCATTTTTTGTWTTCCTACCCTGCGTTTCGGGCACSTTTTGACCTATTTTGAAGCTTAAAMYCTCATGAGTTCCATGGAGCTGGTTAAAATTCTAATTTTCATTTAATTTTCATTGCATTTGGGATRTATCTCCCGAAGTTAGCTGAATTCSTGCAGCCATGTAACCCAGGGATGCTTTATTATTATTAAATCTTCCCTCCTAAAAGCATAAAAATTAAAAGGTGATAAAAAAAAGAAACATATGCTGAAATACAGGTTTGTATGACTTTAGCCTTAACACAGGTAKCGGCCTGCAGTAAAATTAGCTGTTCTGACGGTTTTACACTTAGAAACATGCTTTTGATACCATTAATAATAAATCTGTGATGTTTCATATCTATCCCCTGAGTTTTTATTCTTCTTTTGCCTCCTGCCTTCCTAGAGGGAAGCTTTGCAACTGTCCAAGCTCTTACCATGCCAGAATTATCTATTATTAGAGCAAAGAAACCCTCAGAAAATACTGATTTTAATATAAAGARCCCCTCAGAAAACACYGATTTTAATATAAAACATTTGAAGCAGCAGACTTAAAAATRTCAAGTGTCAGTGCTATTTGTAGAGGTGTGATGCCCTATACCAAGATTTTTTTTTAATGTATACAGCCCTACCCAAGAATATTTTGGTTTGGGCTAAAATTTGAGCAAATATTAGCTGTTTAAAGATTCTAAAAAGTGTTTATAGTTTTGATTTTTCATGATTTTTTTATCTTTCTGCCTAAGTTTTAATCGCATAACAATTAAGCGAATTGTTGAGCTGACCGCTTAAAAATATACATTGGAATTTATTATTTCCTGACTGTAAAAT